GTGCTGATAGGGGTCCATAAGGTGACATGCAGAGACATAACATGAGCACTGTGTACATGAGAGAATTAGGATGAAAAATTAAGAAAAAATTCAGGCTGTGGCTGAAGCTGTTCTGCACACAGATCTCACGTTGATGCTAACCATTAAGCAGGTGCAAGCCACAGTCTTTGAAAATAAATGTCTCTAAAAAAAAAAGGTTTGTCATTTTTATAGACTTGAAGACTAAACATCAAGCAATCCCTATGTTAAGATGAATTTGCATATAATTGGTAAGAACTTCTAGCTATTTCTTTTGGTTTCTACTGGAGATGAGGACAAGTGGATGGAGGCACAAAATGGAGACTAGAGTAGCTCAGTATCTTCTGTTTACTTGGACAACTACAAAAGTAGAATAAATATCTTGCTAAAAAATTCAGATATGTTTGAATAGCTTAATTTCAAATCAACAGTCTGTCCACATGGTGTCTTGATTTTCACTAAGAGATGCAGAGGATCATAGAATGCTTTGGCTTGGAAGGAGCTATAAAGATCATCTAGTTCCAATCCCCCTGCAAGGTGGACAGGGACACCTTCCACTCAACCAGGTTGCTCAGAGCTCCATCCAGCCTGGCCTTGAACACTTCCAGGGATAAGACATCTACAATTTCTGTGGACAACTTGTTCCAATGCCTCACCATCCTCATGGTAAAGAATTTTTTTCTAATATCTAATATAAACCTACTTTCAGCTTGAAACCATTCCCCCTTGTCCTGTCACTGCATGCTCTTGTAAATAGTTTCCCTCAATATTCCTTGTTGGTACCCTTCAGGTACTGGAAGTATGCAATTAGGTCACCCATAAACCTTCTCTTTTCCAGTCTGAACAAAGCCAATCCTCTTAGCCTTTCTTCATAGGAAAGGTGCTCCATGCCTCTAATCAACTTGGTGGCCCTCCTCTGGACTTGCTCCAACAGGCCAAATGAATTTTAGAGGGATCTTCTATCCATTTTAGTCAGAATATAATAGCAAAAGTGAACTAGAAACATATTTTTAGAGATGAGTTGACTGAAGAAAAAATTGCAATGGAATATTGTGTCTTTTCCATCTCTTTACATTTTAAGTTGAGACTAAATATATTTATAAAGTTATATGACCACAAACAGCTGTATATAATAAAAGAAGTTCCAAGTACCTAATTTGGACTAGACTGGCATTTGTTCATTCTAGCCCTAGAGTTCATAGAATATTGCACTAAATCTTGGCAAATTTGATAAAGTTGACTAAGATATTCTGTTGCATAAAAGTTGTCATTTAATTCACTGACTTTTAATTATTTTCAAGTACTATATTTAATATTTTCTTAATTCTTTTGTCTATATATGGTAAGAAGTTAACAGGAAATAGTTATATATCTAAGTACTTACATATACTAAGAGATATATTAGAATGAATTCTTGCCAAACAGTGAGCTATTCACTGTTACCTAATTCACCTGAAATTTCATGTCAGCAATTTTTTTTTATAGTGTGTTTCATATTGCAACTTTTTAATGATGAATTAAAATGTTGCTAATTCTCATATATTTATTTTTACAGTTTGGAGGTATTTCTATTGTCTTACTGGATAAAATTTTCTGTTTAATAAACTTAGGTTTTTTAGATATTTTGTCCCAGTTTAATGGGAAAATTTATAGGCTTTGCTCTACATTTTACTTTCTGGGTACATCAGATTCTGTTTAGAAACTTAACCTTTGTCATGCCTGGACATCATAAAATGTTTCAAACTGCTCTTGACATATAGATAGACAGTCACTACAGCCTACATCTAGCATTTTTCAGCAAAGTGGTATTTTGTGTTATATGATATTTTGAAGCTGTGTCCTTGTAAAGAATCCCATCATATGCAGCAGTTTCATCTACGTAGTCACAATATAATTTTATACTTGGAAGAATCTGTGGTGCTTCTGTTTGCTGTCCATGAAGAACTACTTTTAAACTGTTGTAAGGCTGGATTATTTTATCTGTTTGTTTGAGCCTGACATATGTTGCTGAAGAGGTGGACAGTACCGGCATCACTTACCCTAGATATTTCTTCATGCAAATCCCTTTCTAATTATATATTTTTTTGAAAACATAAAATTATTTAACAAAAATTTTTCAATTTAATCCTAATTGTTTGAAGCTGATATGATGTCTCAAAAATTGTTTCCTCAAGATGCATCTGTTAGAATTTACCTCAAATGATGTCAAACCCAAATGACTGACAACTAGAACATATGCTCTTGTGGTTTTTTTCTATATGAATATGTTGTGACTCAACTGGAAATTAATCACAATGTAACTATTCTAGCCTGATACAAACTAATTGGACAGAAGACATTTTTTCTTTGGTCTGTTCATCATAAATACTTGCATGTATCAAATCTTCATCAGCCAGTATCGAATGTGACAACAGTATGTTAAATATGATAAAATATATGCCTAAAAAGCAGTACTCTAGTACTTGCTACACAAGAAATTCCAGCACAAGGCAGAGAGCCTGACGCTCAGATTTGAGAGCAAATTTTGCTGCTCGGAGCCCTCCTTTCTCGTGTGAGGATCTATATGCACTTTACTCTCAGCTTACCATGTTTTGGCAACAGCAATAGTTCTTTCAGTTTGAGGTTTGGGAATGCCAATAGGACACGGAATGGGTAAAATTTTCATTGCATCTCTTGTGTTGGCTTCCCAAGCTGACAGCTTTTCATAGTATTTCTGCTAGTCAAGAAGGTCTACAATCCAAAATGTCACCCGGAACTGGTCTACCAAGAGAACACAAAAGCACAGCTCACATAGATCAGTTCATCACCAGTTTAATCAGTTAAAAATGATATTGTATATTTTATGGTATTATATTACCATCCCAACAGTTCAGTACCATACCATATAAGTATGTCAGCCCATATGTGTCTATAGTAAAAAAGCATGTTAAAAGGAAAATAAAGTATTTTAGTGAAGCAGTCTCCCCCGCTGTGCTAACAATTTTTCTAGCCAAATTCACTGAAGTGGAAAGAAAGGAAGAGGTGGAAGTTCTGTCTGTGAACTAGTGGTAACAGTTCACCAGCTGCCCAAATTATTCTTAAATACTTTGGCCCATCTCTAGATAAAAATTAATAGAGTTCAGAGGATTTGATGTAGACAGGAACATTTGTCAAATGATAACCAAACTTTTTCAATTTACATTAGTGAAGTTATGAAGCTGAACTATGGCAACCACTTCCACTAATCTATTAGTTAAAGAAAAAAGCCACAAAGTATGACATGCCTTCAAATCTGTCTATATCTGTAAGCATATGTGTATGTTCGGGAATGCACTTTAAGCATCATTAATACTGATACAGAAAGATCCTGCAGTAATCTTTCATAACTATAGGTTTCACACATGCAGTCTGCCAGAACAACCTTCTCCGATTCAGAGTGTTCATCTGTCTTGTAGAAAGGGTTCAGAATTTTCATTCATCATTTGAATGAGGTGAGGTAAAACTTCTACTTTTTTTCTTTTCCTAGGCTTGAACTAGTGTATTTTCATGGACTGTGCTTTCTGAGCCCATTAATAGTAATGATGTTATATGGTTCACTGTAGTCCTTTCCATGGGCTTCTGCTCATGTCAGAGCAAGTAATAAAAAAGCAAAGCCCTCCTGTATGGAAATGAGTGGCTTCACTGGAGTGGGGTGAGTGGAGAGTAGTTAAAAGCATCTAGTAATAGAATATCCTATTTTTCCTCAAAAAAGAAACAAGTAACCAAACACAATGAGAAAAAAGATCCTTCAGAAACAGAAATTAACTCTAGTATTTTCTTACCCATTTTTAACAGAATTTCGTACTTAGACACATTCACAGGAGTAAACAATGAGGTTTTCTGTATGACTTGTACAGGGTACTATTGTGAACTGCTTGTTCATTGCACTCGTCAAGATATGTGAATAAAAGTGAAAGCTTACAACACTTCCTATGCCTTAGGAAACTATCGGCTGTGCCAAATTATGATCACATTCTGAGCTGTGCTGCTTCCTTCATCTCCCCAGTCTCAAATGAGTGTATGTCTTCCAGAATCATAATAATCACTGTGCCTTGAAGTGGCCTTCAGATTTCGTATTTGTGTGAAAAGAGGGATTTATTGGGAATTTTCTCAGATTCCTTCCTCTACTCCAGGAGCTGGACTGCTGACGTCCATATGTAGTTTCTCCCTCATCTTCTCTCTTCAAAGATCAGTTGTCCAAATAAGCTGTATTTAAGCTGGGACTGGTAAATACCTATCTTCCAGAGGCCCTTAAGTGTGCTTTATGACACTGTGTAGGAATGAGGCCTACAGCCGTCTGATATGCGATGAGATATGTGGTGAAGGGATTTCTATGGGCACAATGGCATGTGAGAAGGTGACATTTTATCAGGAATCTCGGCTGGATAACCCTTTTTGCTGCACACATGTGGAAGAGGGAGTGATACTAAGGTGTCACAGTTCTGCTCCGCCCTTGTGCAAGACCCACAGTCCTTGTAATCTCTCTTTGGATACCTTGATGTCCCTCATTTACATATAAATTGGCCCCTCCCCCACTTACGATAGCAGTTATAGAATATCTGACTACAGTCTCACCTCCACTTATCCCAAAAGTATAAATTGCCATTTGAAATCCTCAGGGGTAGAGGATGAGATTATGGTGACCTTGTAGACAAGTTGATGGACTTGTTCCTCTTTCCTCCCCAAAACAGGGACACCTCTGTGATAAGATTTGTACCTCCAACTGTTTTGGAGTATACCCAGGAACACTGTGTGTATAGTGCTATACACTTATATTTTGCATGTCTAGTGAATTTATCATCAGCAATTTAAAAGAACCTTTAATCTGTTCCTCCAATAAACCACACTATGAATGAATCTGTATTCATGAAAGTTTCTATTGAACTCGAATGCCGCGGTCCGAAGAGGGGTTGGGACACGAGGAAGGGTGCAAGTAGAATGCCCTATTCACGCGTGCACACTGTCTTTTGTCAGCTCGGGCGGGGAAAGGGCCAGAACATAGGGCGGAGCATGAGACAGACAAGCAGGGGAACAACCAGGATAGGGACATGGACAAAAGGGGGAGGAGTGGAGGAAGCAGGGAGCAGGCAGCAGGCAAACTCATGGCAAGCCTGGGCATGACCAGGTTGTGCACTGTGTAGTGTGAATACAATGAAACCACATAATAACAGTAAAGTCCATATGATAACTGTAAGGTCCATATAATAAAGTCCTGCCAATTGCTGTATGCTTTTCTCCACGTCTGGAACTGTTCCCATCCTGAATCTTGCTCCTTCACACTCGAACAGACTTTTAGTGTTCAATCGGTTAGACCTCACTATTTGTGGATCTGTCACCACAAATGAGACCAGACTTATGGTGTAACCCACACTATTTGTGTATCTGAAATCTTATTGGACACAGCCGAATTTATTGTGCCGACTTGGTTCTAATCAGAAATTAAGCCCAGCCGTGCCCAATCCCTCTGATCCATTAGGACCAGCTGGAAGACAGGTCCTAATTTCTGCCAAATTCTATACTCTTAATGCAACACATTGGTCTAAGCTGAGTTACAGCACAGAAAACATAACTCAAGGGAGATAAAACTCACACAATCAAAGTGTGATACTCTCTATTTGTGACTGTTATGACCTAGAATGAGTGAGGGCACTTAAGATTGTAAATACAGCAATACTCCACTGAATTATCTTCTTGAGTGCCTACACCAACCAAACATGGTACGACAACGTCACAACAGATGAACTATCTTTTTCTACAGTGAACTTAACTATTAGAACAACACGATAACTAATAGCAAAAAAAAATCCAACAAGCCAGGTAAAAGCAACCATCACACTTCTTTGCCAATCCAAGTAAGATGGGAAAGCAGTAAATTCAAATGACACTGCCAGGCAATCAAAGTGTGTTAAGAAACAAAACCAAAACCAACTAACCAAAACAAATAAAAGAAACCAAACATCAAACCCTCTAGGACATTCTCTACAGTGTTCCACAAAATAATCATAGGAAAAAAACCCCACAACATCAATTTGTCTGTTGCACACTAGGAAGGAAACAGTGGAAATATTCTGGGTGTACCCTGCAGTTGTTGGCACCGAATCTCTTTCGGAAGAAGCTAAGCAGGGCAGCAGAGGTTCCCTTAAAACATGAAGGAAAACTCAGAAAATCAAACATAATGGTAATTCAGCACTATACAGAAGAACAGTAACCAATAGACAGGAGTGTGAAGGACCCATTTTCACTTTATCAGCAGAAGAATGAAGAGGAACAAAAAGATCACAATCATTTTTTTTTTTTAATGTTACAATCATGCTCCCTTTCATCTGTTCCCTTACTTTCACACCATGGACATATCTTTTTTTTGTACATGGAACACAGACATTTTTCAGATAGATCAGACACAAGACCACAGATCAGCAATGTTGTCTGCAGATTCCTAGATGCTAGGAATTAATTAGAAGCTTTGTTTGGCATAAGAAATCCATGGTGTTGTGTTGGACACCAAATGAATTAATTCAGACTGGTTTTTTGAGAGAGATGGCATTATGAATAACCTCTGCATACATGTCTTTTAAATGCAAAATGGTCCTTTAGCTCAAATACAAAATTTCTCTGAAGCTGAAAGAAAAAGTGCCACCACCTCTGTTTTAAGAATATAATCTTAATTTCATTATCTACAGAATCATAAGAGACAAATTGTTCAATATTCACAAATCTTAATTGGTGAGGCTTTCAGAGCAGCCACCATAGATACTGCACAAATTGCAAATGTACAGTTTGTAAAAGAAGCTAAATAGGAGCTATGAAAGTGTATTTTTTAAAAAAAGTATGGTAATTTAGCAGATGGTTCAAAATACTGAAGTGATTGTGCCCAGAGGATGATGAAGAAAACATCAGTGAAAACTTTAAGCAACAAGTAAAAATGTAATGTTGCTTCATAGCAGGATATGTTTAGCTTCCTTTTGCAAAGCTGAACAGACACTGAAAAGAATTTTATGGTGAAGAAATTGTAGAATGACTCCCGGGCTCTGACCCAATCATGGTGGAAAACTGCTCTGGCAGGTCTATTTACTCTGAATCCCACACTCCAGTGTCTGACAGAGAAGCACTATCAGAGAGTTAATCAGCAAGATGCATAATGTGGAGAGGTCAGAATCAATAAGGATTTGCTTTTGACACTACAGCGCTGAACATCACACTTCATGCAGCAGTTCTTTTAACTAAAAATACCTTTCTGATTGCAGGCCACCTCTTATTTTACCACCAGTCACTGAGATTAAGAGAGCACTCACTGCCAAACATATTGCTTATTTATTAGGATTCCAAGTGGGGGACAGCAGTGAAGCAATTTCTTTCCTGTGGATTTCAGCAGAATGCAAACTATGTTATGACAAAAAGCCTATTTTGCTAGAATTAAGGTTGAGAAGTCCTTACTGTTTAAAAATTGGCTATTCTTAAAAATCCACATGCTTAGTAAGACCTGTTGTACTGGATCAGAACAAAGGCCCATTTAGCCCAGTGTTTTATCTGTAAGAGTGAACAAAAGTAAACATCCAGGAAGAGGTATATACAAATAATAATCATATAACAATACCTTCCAATTATAGCCTCCCCAGTTCTAAATATCTGATTCAGGAAATTCCTAAATCATACCCGGAACCCTATACATAAATTCTGTATACATAGAATCATAGACTGGAACTCCATACACCTTCACAGATTATCCTTCCATTAACTTCATAAAGATAAACCACTTCTAATGAAACAAAATTAAAAGAAAAGCAGATGCCAAGTACTCATGAGCCAAACTTCTGATTATCTAGGTCCAACTGATAAACTTCAAATAGTTTGAAATTTGCTGTGCAGGTTGGAGATCTAAACATGGATCTTTTGAACAAGGGCTTACCAGAGTATAACCTCTACTTAAATCACATTATAAAATCTAAATACATGTCCCTCATATGCAAATGTAACTGTGTGTCTCACTTTCCAGAATTGCTAAGTTTGGTAAACTAACCAGTGCTAAAACTCTCATTCATCAGTTTCCAAAACTTAAACACAAACTACTTAAAAATGTCCAATTTTCATATGATCTGACTTGTCTGTATGCATATGCCTTTGTTATTTAACCTGCCCTCTCAGTAAAAATCTTTCCCAATATTCTAAGAATGGACTACAGGCATTCTACTAATACAACAAATGACTGAAGTGTTTGATTTTATTTTGTATTAGGATAACAGGAAAAAGGAGCATCATGACTTGACTCAGAAAATGTGAACTGTTTTTAAAAATAATGTTAGGGTGAAGGCTAACTTTCACGAAGAGTGGGCAAATTATGCAAGAAAACTGAAATGGATTGTAGTAGCAGGAAGAAGAATGTGTGTAAAACTATTGACGAAACTAATGGGTTCTGAAGAGATGCAAAACATTAGCCTTCTTGGAGGGGAAGTGAAAGAAGAGACTTGATCTGCTTTTTCCCCACACCCGGTTGACTCTTTAGAGATATTAACTCCAATGTGAGTTGAATCAGGCTTTGAAGAAAGGTCGTTACAAAAACCTGAAAACTCAGGAAAACAAAGAATTAATGTATATATCGGTCCACTCCATACTGAGTTTGCTGACATGAAAGGGCAAGCAAGAACATTGCTTGACCAGACTGGCTAGAAGAGTCAGTGCATCTAGTTAAATACACAGCTTAGGTTACATTGACAAGGAAGAGCACAAAACCAATTAAACAATATATGTGCATGCGGCTCTCTCCACCCTTTCTCTCCACCCTTCTCAAAAAACCCGATACTAACCCACAAAACAGACCACCCAATAAGCCTAGAAAGTAAACCTCAATGAAAACAAACTTACCGCAAGCCCCTAAGACTCCAGAGAGATTATTCATGTGCTAGTGGCTTTTAAAGGATTAATGGCTAAATAAAATATGGTAGCAAGATTTTGCCAGAGAGGCTAGAGAACTGCCAAGAGAAAGGCCAGACTAATTCCTTCCTATTTCCACAGCTATCCCACTTGACCCTCTCTGCAGTAAGAATTTCACCTTTCCCTTACACCAATATATATTCTTCTTCCCTTTCATCAAAAGAAAAATGGGACTATTTTGATAATCCAAGAGGGGCAAAAGGCTGTTAGAATTATTCCTGTCGTGGAAGATCAGCCAAACTGCCTGGATCACCTGTTTGCAGTCTCCTCTCTGCTAAATTCCTCATGCTAATACTCCTGCAATAGATATGCCTAACATAATGAATGCTAGCAAACTGTATGCAAGTGATTCAAGAGACCAGTTTCTGCCTCTGGAAGGGACAGATTATAGGTTGGATCACCCTGTACCTTCAGTCCACATTAGTTTTCAAGGGCCTGCGTTTTGTTGAAGTTGATCACCTGGAAGGGCACAGGATATCTGGTGACATTAAATTCATAACATTCAAAGAGTAAAAAAAAGCAGCATAAAACAGTCTCCAGAGAGGCTTAATAATAACAACTTTGCATGTCCTCAGTGATACAGATTTTTCAAATGACAGTTTTTAATTTTGAGGTCTCATCAGGCATGGAGCAGGAGGGGTTGGACTAGGCAATCTCCAGAGGTTCCAGCTGTCTGGTGATAATTAGTGAAAACTGTGGTCATTGTGGAGAAAAGATCATCACAGTGGCAATCCAGTTCTTGTCCCATTTTTTATACATTTAACATCTTCCTCTTATGGCACTATTTTTTTTCAATTTTATTTCCTATTTTGAGGTTTTGATAAAGCTTTAGATTTTTCTCCAAACTTAATGAAACTATAATATAGAGCACCATTTGAAGAACTATATAATAGAGCAAACTCTGTCATCCCTTTCAGCTCTGTTCCATCATTAGAAAGAAAACCACATTCAAAATTACTCATAATGCTATATTTTCCATTAAACCTTCCCTCCGTAGGGAAATATGAGGAAGTCAGCTTTACTTACAAACTAACTATACTTTTTAACTACAAGATAAAAAAAATACTGAAGATCTATAGCAGTATCATAAAATATTTCTCATTGGAGATTTTTTTGACAAAAGGCAACAAATCATAAAAATTTAAATGATACTTTTTCATACAGAAACTTCCTCCACGCAGAAGATTATTTTAAATTATCACAAAACCTTCTCGGTCCTACAGATCATTTTTCTTTCAAAATCTTATAAAAGTGGGATCTGGGAAAAATAATACAAAGGTTGAAAAGTTGTGTTTTCACAGACTGAATTCAGGTACAATGAGAACAAGGAGGAGGGAACTTGAATACACAAGACTTGCATATAGTGTAAAAATAAATGTAAGTATATTTTATAATCTTTGAGAGTTTATTCAGATACAATCCCTTCTTCCCCAATACCAACCTGCTTCCTGAAAATCTGAGGATATTGCTTCTACAGAAACACAATTATGTAATATATAAGAATTAAGAATGCAAGGAATACTTGCAAAAAAAACCCCAAAAAGGAATCAAATTAAAAGCTTTCATTACTGAGTGCTTCTTTACTTACTGTGTGCTTCATGACTGTTGTACAGAGCAGTTGAATCAGTTTGTGAGTTTAGAAACAGAACTGATTAGAAACAATGACTGTTAATTGGTGAAGAAACTATGAGGGTTGACACATTCAAGGCTGGTTAAGGAAAGCAGATTTCTTGCCTTTTTAGATAACTTTGAAAGTAGTAAGACCCTAAAAGATTTGAAACTCTGCTAGAGAATTAGGATATTATTTCCTCTGAATAATAATGGCCAGTCTTCGCAAACGAAGATTTTGGGAAAGGTCTTTTACCTTTCAAGCCTGCGCAATGGATTTTTTAGATGAGACACAGCTTGCGCTGAACTGAGCCCACCCTTTAATCCTAAGGTTCATCTGCCGGGGCCAAGCGAGCTTGGACAATGGCAGTGAGGTCCTCAGGACGTAGGTTTGTTTAGAGTGACCTTCTCATAGATGGATGGCCTCACAGGGCTAACGAGCTCCATCTGCCCGGGGGACTGGGAGTCGAACCTGGGTCGCAGCGGTGAGAATGCTGCATCCTAACCACTAGGCCACCAGGGGACCTCTGAATAATAGCATCTAAGGGAATGCACACAGGTTTGGAAAACACACGAGATCCCCTATGACTGAAGATCTCTAGACCACAGTATCTAGGACCTTGCTCACAGCCAAGAAATCATACGGGTCCATGAAGGGAGACCCTAATGAGCGAAGAACCTTAGTAATTCTTCCAAGCATCTGCCATAATTGCTCTTCACTTAACAATGAACTGATGAAATGAGGAAAGTAGTGTTAAAATTTTTGAAAGTGAAAGGTGGTAAAACAAGTATTCTAGTTGCTCCTAAATGGAGCCAAAATATTCCCTTGTAGTTTGACAAGATTTATACAAGGAAGCCCTAACTGGGTAAGAGTAGAAGTAGTAAAACTTCTGAGTAAAATTAGCTGAGGGGGTGTCATGGTTTGAAAAGGCCCAAAATCCAATTCTGATTCCTAGCCCCCCCCTCCCACATCTCAACTCCATGTGAGATGGGTTTTCCAGACAAAAACACGAGACTCAATATGGGGGGAAAGGAATATATTACAGGACTATACAAATAAATAAATACTATAAAACACTGCATACAATCTTAACTCTATATCTATCTCTACCATGACAGTAATATTGACAATGGGCCAAATCTCTTCTCCCTCCAAATAAAAGTCCAGGAGAGAAGAAGAAGAAAAGACCCCTTCCAGTTTCTGAGCAGCAGGTCTCTCTCTAGGCAGCAGGCTTTCTTCTTCTCTTCCAGGCAGCAGTAGTAGTTGCTGGCTCTCTGCCAGCACACACGAGGGGGTCTCCAAGCCCCTCGGCCCTCCGTCCTCAAAACGGGGGTCTTTCCGTGGACTACGTAACTCCAGACAAGGTCGCATCACCACGGTCATATCACGAAGCACGGGGGTCTTCGTGACGGTCTGGTATCCTCAGGGGAAATCAAGCCCCTGTGCAGAGCTCCCATGCTCTGACTCAAAGATGGCTGCCAGCTTCTCTGAAGCTGCAGCAAGGAGGGGGGGGGAAGCCCAAGGTCACCCCCTCCACACACATTCCTTCGGCCATCCTGGCTTATCTCTCAGGAGGCCATGAGCTTCCTAGCTCCTCTCAGCAATGCATACTGCACTTTAGGACTCCTCTCAGTTCACCACCCCCTCCTCTTTCTCGGAGGGGTCTCTAGCGAGTTTGGGGGTTTTGGTTTTGTCCAGTTCTTACCCCGCGAAACTCTGTTCCTGCTGCTGGCTCGGTTCTCTTGTCCTGTTGCTGCTTTTCCTTCTCCTCAGACACCTCTGTGTCTGCCTTAGCTGCATACCGGCTTGTGTTACTCCTTTGGTCCTTATCAGTTGGCTCTTTGCCACTGCTCTTCGGACACTGCTGTCTCCGCTGCTGCTCCCAGCGTCTTCCACTGCTCCTACAGGGGAGAAAACTCCCCCAGCTTCTCAGCCACAGACACTCAGCTCAGCTCTGAGTCCCTGCAGCCCCCCAACCAGGGGCTGGGGGGGGGAGCAGAGGCCCCCAAGGGGCCGGAGCCTCTTCTCCTCGTGGCCTCTACAACATGGCCACCTCTTCCTCTCACAACAAGTACCACTGCTTCTTTTCCGGTCTCCAGAGATATGTTTATATTTTGCAGGAGCACTGATTGGGTCAAGCCCCAAGGGTCACCACCCCCTGGGGGTTACCACTTTCCTAGTTTCAGGGGGAAAACCTGGCTCAAACCACTACAGGGGGGGAAGAAAGCCAAGGTAGAGCTGCTTAATTGAGTGAGGGAAGAAACAGGGAGGAATGGCCGCTATTTCTTAAGTTTAAAAATGTCTGTTCTTGACTAAAATTAGTACTTTTGAACAAATTTCTTGGGGTTTATGCAATGGAAAAACGCAAGTGTTTCCACACAGAAAATCTAATTGCTTTATCAAGACAGTGATGAAGGACATAACATCGGCTTTTCAACATTGGAAATCACTGGAGAGTAATTTTTAAACAGGTGCATGATTTTAATAGAAGTATCCATTTGAGTGACAGTAATTTGTAATGACAGTTTGTGATTCCAAACTCAGACTTGGAAATTGAAGACTTGGAAAGACCAGGAAGGAGACGGTTTTATCTGTCTGAATAGCCAGCATTGGTAGAACAGAGAGGCAGGTATTTACTACACTTCTGGTTTCCACTATACAAAAGCAGACTACCACATTTGCTGGTACGTAACAAGAAAGTGAGTTTTCAAGGCCTCAACATAAACTTATTTCCTTGTAAAAACCTTTTTAACTGAAAGATGAACATACTCAGAAATATAAATTACAGGAAAATTTCACTCCAACTATGACATGAGAAATGGCGATAGCTACTCTGTTACAAAAAAACTTTTAAACTTTTTGGACAAGTCAGGGCAGAATTTGGACAGAACTAGATGCTTTTGACAAACCTTAAGTGTGATTGGTTTTACTTTTTCTTTTTTTTAAAACAGATCAAAATGGCAGAGGAAGCAGGAAGTGTTATTTTATTAATTCCTGGAAATCAGTGTTCACAATCAACTTTGAACATTCTTATTAGCAGCTAAGAACTTATCATTAGCACTTAGTACCACTCAAGAAACCTGAAAGTATGGCTCCTGTCTCCACCTGCTCTTCCATACAGTCTCTTTTGAGTCCTAAGTCTTGCTTGATCTAAGCAGAAGTTCTAGGACATTCTATGCAGTAGTAAATACAAATAGCACAGGATGGGAAAATATCTGACCTGGAACAGAATTTGAAAAAAATTATGCTATCTATAAGAAGAAAAACTTTCTATCATTCTGGAAGCAATTTTAAGGTTTTTAACATAATTCTCCATATCCCTCTGGTAAAGAGTTAGCATTGGTGTTTTATTTGCTCACATAAACACAACAGACAATCTGAAGTAAATCTATGAATGCTTTATATGTCTTACTAATGGAGTGTGCATACTGAACTGTGCCATTACAGATTTCCTTTTTTGGCTGTGCACCAAAATCAAATCTTTCCCAGAAATTGAAGGTCCTGGCCTCACTTTGAAGTGCAGCCAGGTACCTGGCTTATCAATGTTGGGGTTATTTTTCTTTTTTACTGTGGGACATCTGTACAGAAGGCAGAACAAACCACAAAGCTGTGTAATGAAATCAAAGTATATTTTCCAGCAGTAAGTCAGAAAATAAACTTTTGGGAACAGATACTTTTCTGTATGTTACACTGAGTCACTAGCTATCTGATAAAAGAAAACTATTTCTTGTTCAAGGAGTTGACATGACAGTAAATCATAAATTTGTCTTTTCATAAGTATTAAAATAACTTAGTGTACTAAAAAAAAAAGGTGAAGTAGAAACTATCCATTTGGAGTGATGGAGAAAACATTTTTTTTGAGGTGTTCATTAAACACCAAAAAAAAAATAGTATGTCCTCAAAAAACCCTCAGATGTTGCTAGAAGGTTTGGAAAATAAAATGTCAGTTCACTGGAGAAGTTCTGATGGACTGATTTCCGCACACATGATTTGAAACCAGTCAGATTTGTTGGTCTTTTTGTCTCTCATCACATTTAAAAATATGCAATCCATCCTTTTCCACTAGCAAAAGTCCCAAGATAAATGAAGGTGTTACTCTGTCCTAGGTTCTACAAGATTTTCTCCCCTTTCTCATAAACCTTCATTAATTCTCTCCTTGACCCTTAGTTGGGGGTATTTGTGGTGGGTTTTTCCCCTCACTTTACAATATGCACCGGTTTCTGGCAAATAAACCACATTAAAAACAAAAGAAAAGTTGTAAAACAAAAAAGAGCAAAGCACATTGTGTTTAAGTGTAAGAACATGAGTATAAAACACAATTATGAAAAATATTTTTGAGAAAAATCTTTTTGTAAGCTGAAAATAAATCCATATTTACCATGCACAGACGCTCAGTGATGATAAATATTTTAAATAACGTATTTTTAAAAAAGTTTGATCTCACATTCAGTTTAATAAGAAAAAATAAGCAGATGGCAGCAGCGTATGTGCCTTTTGGATAATATGATAAGATCTCCATTGCTTGTGGCTACGTCATCAGTATAGTAAGCTATGCTGTTTGAAATGCAGAAATAAACATTTAGAATTATGAGTTCACTCAGCATGCAGGAGAGTTTTCAAAGCAAATTACAGTTCAGGTTCTGAACAGACTTTTTACTTGAACAATCTTTGTAATACCACAGTTAAAAGATCCCCTTAAAGCAGCTATTACTTAGGCTTCCTGCCTTCATTCAGTATGGAAAAATAAATTTTATAGCTACAATAAACTGCACAATACCTAAAATTGCTGTTATGAGACCTTCTGCAACTCAGAAGTTAATTAAGAAATGCTAAACCATTAAATGCAGTATGACATAGTATGTTCTACAGCACTTATATAGTTTAAAATATATCTCTGGAATGCACAGAAGCTTAAATATAGTTTGGAGTTTGGTTGAATTTTAATATTATTTTTTTGAGTCATATATGGCAAGGATACATTTTTTTTCACCTGAATTCAAATGACTAGAGAAAACCAGTTACAGCATCAAACAAGAAAGGCAATGACAGATAAGAGTTCTTGAAGAAACAGCTGAGGTTACTTATCAACATTGTATTTATCAAAGCATACTCCCAGCTTGGTTCCAGACATTTTAAGAGCCATTTCTTCAGACAGATAAGCCTGTAAGCACAAAGCTTCTACCACACATTTACAGTCTAATTTTAAAGAGGTTTTAGAGAAAGGAAGACTGACTGCTGTGAGAAGAAACATGGGTTGCAACTGCATGGTGTTTTACAGGCAGTTGCGACCGGATTTGTCTGGATTCCAGGCTGGCTGGATGTAAGCCAGCAGCAGACCAGAAGATGCTGAGGTGCAATTATCGTGGCACTGAGTTTGAGCTAATAAGCCTTACTGTGAGACAGGGCTTTCAGGCTTGTGTGGCACTCAGGCTCAGTGCCGTGCTAACACAGCTACACAGCTTCCAGTTTAGAGCTGGCTTGCATCCAGCTGGTTCAGAGTGCAAGCAAGGACAGCTGGTATTTGCTCTGAGCATGGACAAGATTTACTAGTGACTGCCACTGACTGCGGAAAATGCACATAGCAGAGCCTGTGCTGGGAGTAGGACCTTCTGCTTCTGTTAGCTGGAAATCCAGGAGGGATGCTGAAGGTACTTGCAAGGCAAGTTGAAGGTATAAGCAAGGAGAGATTTTTATCCAAGACACAATTCTAAATGCATTTCTTCTGTCAGTTTTCAATGACTAAATCAATTACGCTGTCCATCTGTGACACTGCAAACGTAACTGCTCCATGGTCATCAAAGAAAATAGCACAAATTCAGACAACATTCAGATATAAACAAAAATTCCCGAATCTGCTGGCACCATCATGTTCCGAGTTCACCAAATATTTGGATTATATCTCAAAACCCAGTCTGTGTGCTACAAGAAGCCTGAAAAATCAAACAGTGAAGTTCATGAACCTAGGCTACCAACTTAAGCACTCCATTTGAGAGAGAAATGAAAGTCTCACTTTATAACCCTAACAGTATACATATAAGGAGGTTAACTCAGAAACAGTATGTAGTTCCTCTTACTGGAGCAGGTTAGGAAGCAGTTAGAAAAAAGTTCTTCATTGAAAGAATGCTCAAACACTGGAAACAAGCTTCTCAGGGAAGCAGTCATGGCCACAGGCCTGTCACTGTCAAAGAAGGATTTGGACAATGCTCTTAGATACATGATTTAACTTTCAGGTTGTCCTGTGTATAGTCAGGATTTAGACTTGATGATCTTCATAGGTCCCTTCCAACTTAGGGTAGTAAATTTAGTAGTCATTTAAATGCAAAATAAAGTTATTAAGAAGGGGGAGGTAAAAACAATTTTTAAAAGAAGCTTCTTTAAAAAATGGCATTACATATAAGGATGTAAAGTGTATATACATGGAATATCAAAAGGATACTACTCTGAGTGCAGCATGCTAAAGGCAAAGTACATAAAAGTCCAGGATATTACCAAGTGCAATCAGCTTGCAACCCTCAAAGGTGAATTGCTGCAGTTTAAGACCAGTTCTGACCAAAGGTGACAGCATGCAATAAAGAGGGAGACAAGAGGGAAGGTGTAGAACAGATCTGCCTCAGAACTAGTTGCTGTTGGCATAAGGTAGAGAAAGGACTTCCTGACAGGATGAAAAGAGATCAGGTGAGGAGCTGGTACTTCTAGAAACATGACTTCTGAAAGATAATTCT